TTCTCTCTCTCTCTCTCTTTTCCTCTCTCTCTCGCTCTCCCTCTCTATCTATCTATCTATCTACGTATCTATCTATATAGAAATTCTCTTATGCAAAAGGCATAAGAGAGAAAAAAAAACATATTCATGTCTATGAATTCTGCAAACAGATCACGAAATCTTGAAGAAATGATATGAAATATATGATAAAACAAAACAAAATAAAGCAAAGCTAAAAGAGATGACCTCAAAACTTAATCTTCGTCTGATAAAATAATCGTAGATGATGATGATAATATTAATGATAGGTAATGATGATGATAATAGTAATGAGAAAGGTAATGATGATGATAGCATATGATCATCATAATGATAATGGTGATGATAATAATAACAAAATGATAATCACTCGACAACGACGATGAAGGTGATGAATCGCTATCACTTCCACCTATGCTCTCTTCTTCTCTCTTCCTCTCCCTTCGTCTCCTCCTTCCCTTCTTCTTCCTTCGCCCCTTCTTCCTCCCTTCACGTCCCTCTCTTCTTCATCGCCCCTCCCTACCTTCTTTCCCTCTCGTCCCTTCCGCTCTCCTTCGCCCTCTCACTTCACGTCCTCCCACCCATTCTTCACCCTCTCCTTCCTTCACGTCCCCTATCTAATCTCCTCTCCTTCACGTCCCCCCTTCTTCCCTCTCAAATCACGCCCCTCCTTCGCATCTCATTCACGTCCTTCGCCTCTCCTTCACGTCCCCTTTCTTCCTCCCTCTCCTTTCATGTCCCCCTTCTTCCTCTCCTTCACGTCCCTTCTTCCTCTCTTCACGCCCCTCTTCGTTCATTCTCCACGTCCTCCTTCGCCATCTCCTTTCACGTCCCCTTCCTCCGCTTCTCCTTCACGTCCTCCCTTCTTCTCTCCTTCAACGTTCCCTTCTTCCTCTCGGGCCTTACGCCCCGCTTCGCCATTTCTCCTCCACGTCCCTCTTCGCCTCTCCTTCAACGTCCCCCCTTCTTCCCTCTCCTTCACGTCCCCCTTTTTTCCTCTCTTCATCTCCTCTTCGCATCTTTCACGTCCCTTCTTCTCTCTCCTTCACGCTCTTCGCCATCTCCTTCACGTCCTTCTTTCCCTCTCTTCACGCCCCTCCTTCGCCATCTCCTTCACGTCCCTCCTTCGCCATCTCCTTCACGTCCCTCCTTCGGCCATCTCCTCTCTTTATCTCGAAGGAATAAGGATCCCGCTTAGCGCCGACGGGACCTCCTTCGGTCTCCGCTTGTCTTCCTTCTCCCTTCGCCTCTCTTTCGTACGGATGCTGGCCTTCTTCTTATTATTATTATGCTTATCTTCTTTTTTATTTCTCTTTCTCTCGTCTTTGTTTTTTTTCTCAACTTTATCTGTCTTTCTGTCCTCTGTTTCTGTATTAATTCTGTATCTGCTTTCTCTCTCTTCTCACTCTCTCTTTCTTCTATCTATCTATCTCTATCTTTCTTTCTCTTTCTTTCTCTCACAAACACTTTAATCTGCCCTTCTGTTAGTCCTCTCCTTCAACTTCACTGCCTCTGGTTTTTCTCTTCTGTTCTCCATCATCCCTTTTCTCTCTTCTGTTTCTCATAATCCCTCTTTCCATTTTTCTTTCTTTCTTTTCTCTCTTTTTTCTCCTTCCTTTTTCTCTCATAGTCCTTCTCTCCTTTTACACCTTCCACCTCCTCCTCCCTCCTCCTCCTTCCTCTTCCTTCTCCTCTTCTTTCCCCTTTCCTCCTTCCCTCCCTTCCTTCTTTTTCCCTCCCTCTTCCTCCCTCCTTCCCCCTCCTCCTCCTTCCTCCCTCACTTTCCTTCTTTCCTTCCCTCTCTCCTTCCTTCTTCTCTTCCCTTCATCCCTCCTCCCTTCCTCCCCCTCTCCCTCCCTTTAACCCAACCTCTGGCGTATCGGATTCAACTGCTTGTTTAAAAATCCATTTATTTACCTTTTCACTTTCCACACTTCGTGCCCATGACGTATTAGTCTCGTTCGGGGAGAGAGTCCTATCAAAAGTGCTCGGCGATTGGAGATAATAATGTCAAAAGCGAGCCCATTAAATCATCGCCTTGTTGATAAGAGCCGTGAAAACAAACAATGGCGGAAGAAACGAGGGTGTTGAGGGGAGACTATTACAAATGGGTTATTTTTCTCCTTTTTTTTCTGTCTGAATTGTCTCTTTCTCTGTCTATGTCTTTATTCATCTTCTTTAATCTTAGGTTGTCTCTCTGTCTCTGTCTTGTCTTTATTCATTTTTTTTAAATTTCTAAGTCTGTCTTCTGTCTCTGTCTTTAATTCAATTTCTCATTTCCTTTTTGCCTATTTGTCTGTCTCTCTGTCTAGTCTCTCTCTCTCTCTCTCTCTCTCTCTCTCTCTCTCTCTCTCTCTCTCTCTCTATCTCTCTCTCTCTCTCTCTCTCTCTCTTTCTCTCTCTCTCTTCTTCTCTCTCTCTCTCTCCTCTCCTCTCTCTCCTACCTCCCCTCTTTTCTTCTCTCTCTCTCTCTCCTTTACTCCCCATTTCACTCCTACTCCCCCTCCCCCCCCTCTTTTTTCCTGCTATTCCCCCTTTATCAAATGGTGTGATTTGATAACCTATCCAAACGAGGGGTGTTTGAACGTCGTTATCCATTTTTGAAATTCTAAATAGGTTTCGTTAGTCGGATAAAACATGAAAATCGAGGAGAGAGAAAGTGTGAATAGGGGAAGGGGGTGGGAGGGGTGGGAGGGGTGGGAGGGGTGCGGAGGGAGGTTGGAAGGATTCTGAGAAAGGAGAAAGGGGAAATTTAATATCATTAGTATCCAATGGGGGGAGGGAGGGAGGTGGAGAGAAGTGAGGGGAGAGAGGGAAGGGAAGGGAGGGAGAAGAGAGTGAGTGAGTGAGAAGAGAGAGAGAGGGAGAGAGAAAGTTGAGAGAGAAAGAGGGAGAGAAGAAAGAGAGAGAGAGAGAGAGAGAGAGAGAGAGAGAGAGAGAGAGAGAGAGAGAGAGAGAGAGAGAGAGAGAGAAGAGAGGAGAAGAGAGAGAGAGAGAGAGAGAGGAGAGGAGGAGAGTGAGGTGAGGGAGGGAGGAGGAGAGAGGGAGAGAGAGAGAGGAGAGAGAGGAAGAGAGGGAGAGAGAGAGAGTGAGAGAGAGAGAGAGGA